TGGATTTTAATCTACAGGATTATTAGATTATTGATGAACTGAAATTAAATAACATGTTTTTATTAAACTGTGACACATTTAAGTTCACTGTAACTAAACCGTTTTCTGTGGTTCTGCTGCTCCTTCAAAGTCAAACTGGAATCTCATCATTCCTTCAACATCATCCTTTAGTTTCTGTTTGTTCTCATTTTCTCTATTTTTAGATTTTACATTTGATTTTGTTCCAGTCCGTTTTGTTTGGTAATAAAAGCAGAACAATTTTTTAAGCTCTTTCTGCAACATGTCGTCAGAGTGAATCAGTGAATGTAAATGTAGCTCCGTGTCTCCATCTAGTGGACTGATGGTAGAAGTGCAGCAGCTGATGCAGCTTCCTCTGCCTCTCTGCTGTCTGACTGCATTCACCTGACACTGATATGAAGCAGAGAAGAGCCAATCAGAGGAGGAGCAGCTGGTCTTTTTCCAGCTCTAATGATGTAAAGGATGATCAGAGCTGATGAATGATGTGTGTTTCCTCTGCAGGTGAAGCCAGAAAGTGTGTGTGAGCTGAAGTGAATTCAGCAGCATGGATCAGTGTGAGGACAGAGAGGAGGGAGTCCCTCCCTCTAAAACCACTCTGTGTGGGGAAGAGGAGAGCCAGAGCAAAGGTCAGAGGTGAGGTCACCATCTCTAAGTGTCCACAGCCCTTTTCACACAGCGTTCACTACATCAGGCCCAATCAGACGTGGTGATGAAGTTGGACTTTTTTAAGCGCAGTTCATGTTGTTCCTCCGACCCGAATGAGAACAACCAACATGTTAGAATAAGTCTCGTTTTTTTCCATGTATCCCTACTAGTTCAGGTTCATGACATAAATGTAGGTCGATATGAAAACAGAATGAGTTTTAATCATGTTTCTGACAGGATCCATCAAAGACTCAAACCAGAACCAGAACCAGAACCCAGCTGTGTCCTTTCAGAGCGAAGGAATCCGTCTTTCACTCAGAAACATTCTCAGATGTTTCTGGGAACTTCTTCCACTTTCAGTCCTTGATTGCTGCAGATACTAATAGAAATACCAGCTTCAAGTAAATTATGCATCTTCAGAAATCTGTTCACCACCTTATGTACAACTGTTGACAAACTGATTGTGGATCTTAAAAATGATTTTTAACCGCGTTGTTTGAGATTATGTAAAATCTGAAAATTAGTAACTTGTGTTTATTGATCAACTTCGACATGGAAGTTAAAATGTTCTCACATCCTGATGAATATAAACTGGTGCCACATTTCATGACTGTCCAACTTTTTGCTTTATATGTGAACTTTAGATTTACAGTATTCATAAAAATCTTTTCAAATTACACTATGGATCCACTGAGTGTCATTCTGTCTGGATAACGACATTCAGCACAGAAGGCTCTGGTTTCTGCTTTTTGGCGTCTTGGATTCAAATTCTAAATCTTCACCTTGTATGTTTACTGCACTTCTACCTCACGTGTTTAGTAAGAAATAAACACTTATCTTCTAATTTGATTCATTTGATGCTCACTCCATTTTGTTTCTCTGTTGAAATGTTAATATTTCATTAAAACGGCTCCTTTCAGGACAACAGACTTCTTTCATATCACAGTGTGATAATTTTACAGTAAAACTTTCCCATCTTCTTTCTGAGGGTTTTTGAAATGAGATTCATCTTCAGTTGGAAAAATAAGCACCAGAAGCACAAATGAGTGATGAAATGGTTTTGAAAACACATTGAGAAGGAAAGAAGAGCCGACATCAACAGTTTTTGGACTAAAATCAGCTTCTTTACTTCCAAACTGCTAACGTGGACAGACTGAAGAGCAGTTTTTCATTTTCTTGCTAAACTCATGCAGCAACAAACCAGAAGCTGGACAAACAACAACAGAACAACAGGAAACATTTCCACATCAGAGCTTCTTCCTATTCTGGCCTTTTATTTTTACACTGAGCTGCAGCGACCACAGCGTCCTGCTGCTCCACTTAAAGGGACAGTCCCACATTTTCAGCTTCAGGGAGCTGTTAGCGTAGCTTAGCACAAAGACTGGAAGTGGAGGGAAACTGTTAGCAGAGCTGCAGAAACAGGTTTCTGTTCAGGGATCAGAACCTTCTGGAGTGTCTGGAAATTTGATCTGTGAAACGGAGCAGAACCAGGCCGACGGGCTCCAGGGTCTGTGGTGGTCGAACTGCAGGCTGGAGGACCCACAGAGGACACAGGTCATGTGACCACATCACAAATCCAACATGCATCCATCAGAGGGGAGCAGATGGTTCCTTGAAGTTCAACTCAATTCAAACTTTCAGATTTGATTCTGACTTTGTGATGAAAACCTGCAGGATTCTTTGATTTGATTGGTTCTCAAACTCCTGTCCCTTCCTGTGTTGATCAGATGATGGGTGGAGCTTCATCTGAAGCCCCGCCCCCATGAATCTGACTGAGAAACTGACAGGAAGTGGGCAGAGAAACAGGACGGCAGACCTGGACTCCAGAGCTCCCAGGTGAAGCTCAGCATTAAAACATTTATTTCCACGTTTCCTCAGAGGCTCTGAGTCGGTTCAGAAAGAAGCTGCTGGGAGATGGAGAGAAATTCCTTGATGGCAGGAGAAACAAAGAAAACTGGGCTGCTTCTCTCCGCTCATCTCGTCTCAGTTCAGGGTTTTTATCGTCTCGTTTGGCTTTCACAGAAAGCGTCGAGCCCGGCTGTCATCTGGATGAAGAGCGAGGAGGAAGAGGAGGAGGAACACAGTTCAGCTCTGAGAAGCTCCTTCCATCTCCCCGTTTCTCCTCCTTTTCCTCCCGCAGATGAAGGAGGCAGCCTGGGAGAAGCGCTCCGGTCCGGTCGGGTCCGGTCCAGGTTGAGTGAGTCGGGTGAATCTGGAGGCAGCAGAGGAAGGAGGAGGAAGACGAGGATCTGCTTCAGATCTTCATGTCCTGGGACTCCACCATCTTGGCCAGAGTCTTCTTCACTCTGAGGATGGTGAGGCGGGAGGCGGGGTTGTGGGCCCAGCACTCCGACATCAGCTTCAGCATGGCTCGAAGGCACTGAGGAAGCAACAGCAGGACGTTTAACCTCAATCTGAACCACATGCAGGATTCTCCAGCCAGTCTCACCTCGTCGCTGTTCCAGCGGTTGGACACTGAGGGCCGAAGGCCTTTAACACAAACCACCTCCAGCATGTCCTCATAGGAGGGTTCAGAGGTCACCATGTTGAAATATGGCAGCTGGTAGTCCTCCACCATACCTGCACAGAGAGAAAACACGTCCAGTCAGCTGATCCTCCCTCTGGTCAACATCTGACCCAGTGGAGGCGGGAAAACATTCCTGATTCAGCCAAAAGATTCAGGAATGGTTCAGGATTCAAATGAATGACGGTGCAGTTCCACAATTACAGAATTCACACAGCAAAATAACACGAAGGGTTAAATCAGTCAACCGTGAAGTCAGGTCAGTAACTAGCAATATATGATAAGATCTGTGTCAACAGCTAATAATCAGACTCAAAACTGTGAAAATGACCAAACATGAGTTTAACTGAACAAATGACAGGCTCATTTATTTTAAAACTGAAGAGAATCAACTAATAACAGCAAAGATGAGAAGATTTCTACCAGAAACAACCAACAGGATGAAATGATCACAGCTACCAACATAAAATTAACCCAGAAATCAGAGGAACTGGACCGGGTTCTGCTGGAGCCACAGCAACAATCAGGAGCTAAGCTAAAGCTAACATGACCCAGCAAACATCACGAAAGCAACCAAACATTAGATCAGCAGCAGAAAGAAGAACATGATCATTAACTTGGAAAACAAATCTTAGCAACATTAGCATGATGCTAACCAGAGCAACATTAGCATCATGCTAACCAGAGCGATGTTCATAACTGATTACCAGTGAAGACCAATGACAGCAGCTGAAACAGTAAAATAAACAAATAGAGAAATATGGAAGCTAAGCTAATAAAGCTGAAGCTTACCGGCCATCTGGAAAATCCTCTGCAACCTGGAGAATTCGGTCTAAGCGTTCCCTTATCAAATTTATCACCATGGCAACGTAAAACTTCCCGGCATCTGCTGTGGCAGTGCGAGACTCTGAGCAATGCTGATCGGCCAGATGTTTATCATTTTCCCTATCAGCCTCATAATAGCTTCACTTCCAGGTCGCTGTGAGCAGCAACAGGAGTCTGTTGGTGGAAATATGTGACTAATACAGATTACTCTGCTATAGTTCTTAGAGATCTGTGAGGTTTTCTATAATGCTTAATAAACCACGAGGAGCAGGAATATTTAAAGGTCAAGAAAATTACATTTCATGCATCTACATGGATATGAGGAGTTAAAAGCATCAGTTGGTTCCAGGGTTAGCTGATTTATAATGGAAGCCTGTGGCAGGAACGGTAAAGTTTTTGCCTCCTCAGAGGTTTCTCCAGAAAAGCAGGAAGTCTAGTCCCAAACAAAACAGGACAGAAAAGGACACAATTAAGCTAAAGCATTTGTTAAGTTGAAAGTTTGTGGGAGTGAGAAGAGCCTGGATCGCGTTGGACTGTGACGTCACCCATTCCTTTAGTCGTGGTGTTTTTCCCAAATGTGGTCGGCAGTCCGGCTGCACCAACCTGTCCCACATCGACGTCTTTCACCTGCAGATTTTGTCGAACATGCAGCAGATAAATTTAATCTGTGCCAACTTTCTGGGCGTGACGTCAGATTGTAAGACATGTCAGACCCTCTTCAGGACCCTAAAATATGATTCACAATGACATCAGTGTTATGCTGCTACAAAGTGACATTGTGATCCTGCAGCTTAACATCAGCTCTGCTTTAGGACACGTTGATCCATATTTGATCATTTTTATTTTCTATTCCTTAAATTTTCTGCATCTGTGGACCCGGCTGGACGCTTTGCTTTTCAAACATGGTGAATCCAGACGCAACAGAACCAGGTTTAATGAATCCCGTTGCAGGCGGAAAGTTATTACATTTTCTTATCTTCCAGTATTTTTCACTCTCAGATGATCAGAATATGTTTTGGATATTCATGAAGGCAGACAAGCTAATGCTATCGCTCCTGCTGATCTCACTCTGCCTGTTGCTTGTAGATCTAGTTTGCTCCACTTTTTGTAGATACAAATGACCAGCGTTAGCAGAGCTTTTAGCAGCATTAGCATTAGCAGCTGGGCTAACAGACACAGCTGGCCTCTTCCACAAGGACTATGTGGAGTTTCTATGCAGGGAAACATCATAACAATGTGAACATTTTGGTAGCTGAATATCTAAACTAGCCTTTGATTAATAACTTATTCCAGCTTCTCATCTTTGCTTTTTTTGCGATAAATAAGAAATATTTCTTATCACTTTATATTTTCGTCATGGAAAGCACTACACCAATAAACTCACCTCACCGAGCATAAAGTGTGGCCACTAGTTAACATGGAAATGTGAAGTTTAGGCAGGATGAGTGATGCTTAGTGTAAACGCTGACTCGGCGGGGCCCCTGTGGCGGCCGCAGCTCGTTTCAGGGGGACCGTACCTCCGGTGACGCAGCGTCTGCTCATCTCCCAGACGACGAGGCCGTAGCTGTACATGTCGGCCATGATGTAGGCCTGGAAGTGGTTCTTGTTGAGGCTGTCGTCCAGGACCTCCGGGGCCATGTAGCGCCTGGTTCCGACCCGGGTGCTCAGAGGGATGTCCACCTCACTGGTGTCGCTATGGCAACACAGGTGACAGTAGCAGAATCGTTTAATTAAAGCTCTTCAGGGAGACGTTTCTTCTGACTGTGTTTGCAGATCCATGTTGGTTCAGGAAATGAAAACTAAACACTGAAGCAACAGGAAACCCGTCGGGTCTCGTCTGAACGTCACCTGTTGAACTTGACGGCGAGGCCCAGGTCGGCGATGCAGCAGGTGCCGTTCTTCTTCACCAGGATGTTCTTGCTCTTCAGGTCCCGGTGGGCGATGGCCGGCTTGCCCTGCGTGCCGTAGATCTCGGTGTGCAGGTGGCAGAGGCCGCAGGCGGCGGAGTAGGCGAGCCGCAGCAGCGCCGCGGCGTCCAGCGTGTTCACCTTCAGGAAGTCGTACAGGGAGCCGTTCTCATGGTAGTCTGTGATGAGGAAGAGCTGCGTGAAGGCGCCAGAACCTTTGATGTCCGCAGCGATGAAGCCTGGAGAGCAGAGGACGAGAAAAGGCTCACATTTCATTAAACATCATGACTCTGGTGTTTCAGTCAATATTAGAAGATGATAACATGTTTCATGTTACAGCTGACATCATATTCAGCAGCTGTGGAGAGAGGAACAGAAACGGGAAGAATTTTGTTCCCATCTGCCGGTTAGCAACAAAAACCTCCGTTAGAAAAACTGAGTCAGTTTCTCTGCTGCAGCCTGAGGAGGGCGAAACCCTGGAGGAGCAGCAGTGTGGCTCTCTGACGGTTTGACTCGGCGCTCCAGGGACTTGGAGCCGATGACCTCAGGTGACCTGGGTCGGCCCCTGACCCGCCGGGTTCAGCCCCAGGAACCTACCCAGGATGTTCTCGTGCCTCATCAGGACCGTCTGGTAGATCTCCGTCTCCCTGAACCAGCTGGCCTCCTCCCGGGTGAAGAACACCTTGACCGCCACTTTCTCTCCCCTCCAGCGGCCGAGCCACACCTCGCCGTAGCGGCCCTTCCCGATCTGACGCACCATCTGGATCTGCTTGGCGATGGTCCGCTGGACCTGCAGGAGCAGAGCGCCGTTTAAACACAAGGTTCATGTTTCTGGAACCACAGAGCAGGATCTGAGGCGACAGCAACAAGCTGTGGGCCATGAGCGCCACCTAGTGGCCTGCAAGGTACTGCATGTGAACGACCGTTAATTTACTGTGACACAGGGGCCCAAAGTGGGTCCAGGAGCCACGGGGCCCAAAGTGGGTCCAGGAGGCCCAAAGTGGGTCCAGGGGGGCCAAAGTGGGTCCAGGGTGGGTCCAGGGGGCCCAAAGTGGGTCCAGGGGGCCCAAAGTGGGTCCAGGAGTGGGTCCAGGGGGCCCAAAGTGGGTCCAGAGAACCCAAAGTGGGTCCAGGGGGCCCAAAGTGGGTCCAGGGGGCCCAAAGTGGGTCCAGAGAACCCAAAGTGGGTCCAG